TTTTTATATATATATATATATATATATATATATATATATATATATATATATATATATATGCATATAAAATGTCTAATGTATAATAAACATATACATATGAATGAATAAATAAATTCCATGAAATCGCATTTTCTTTTCAATGATGTACTGTTTATTTACTAAATAAATCGTGCAAACAAATTGAGTAAATAGTGCACATAAATAGTGCACTATTAGTGCAAAATAACAGCTTATTAGTGCAAATAATGCACTATTAGCGCATATAGGGTCAATAGAGCAAATAGTGCGCATAGACTGAGTATATAGTGCAAACAGCACACTATTAGAGTGAAATAGTGCAAATATATTGAGTAAATAGAGCAAAGAAATCATTTATTTTCAGCATAAAATATATTCAGTTTTACTTTAGTATCATTGAGACACTATTATAGTTTTTATTAAGATTTGGAATTAGTTTTTATATTTATCATTTCATTTTAGTAATGATATATATAGTTTGATATTTTTTTATTAGTTTATAAATAAAATATGAATATAACTTAAGAATATATTAAAAAATAACAAATAATTAAAAAATATCTACAGTATATATATATTTATTTCAGTTTTAGTTTTAGATATTTTAATAGTTATTCTTAGTTAAACTAAATGAAAAGGTTGCCTTGTCAACTAGCTGAAATAAAATTATTTCAGATATAAGCAATATATATATATTTTTTTTTTTTTTTTCAGTTAATGGTAAGACATTTATAATTTTTGTAAATTTCACACTGTTTTGGCATGTAATACTCCACTTGCCTAAATCTGTGTGTGTGTGTGTGTGTGCGTGCGTGCGTGCGTGTGTGATTACCGAGCGTTTCTCTTCGGGCTGAGCGTGACTCCCGTCTCTAGTTTGATGTCTATAACACAATGCTCCGGTTGAATTGCCAAACCACACAACTGAATGTCCTGAGAGTCTGCAGAACCCACACGAGTGTGTTCCTGCACATCAACACACACACGTCGATGAAAACACAACACCTCATCCACAACAACAACAAAAAATTACAGCTGATAATCAATCAACCATTTATGCATGCATACGAATAGTTTTATATGAAATATTCAAGCAGAGACGTAACACTGATCTTTATTAATTAGTGTCTGTACCTTTAAGTAATAGACGAGCAGCTCGTTGAGGGCGGGGTCTGCGTTCAGGTTGACCAGGAAGCATTTATCATCAATGACTCTGATCCCAGATGACTGCAGAGAAATTCCCAAACTCTCCAGCTGCTTCTGTCGCTCCTGAAGAGCCAAACACACTTCAGTTCAGAGGAATGTCAACCACACTTCTGTGTTTTGTTGACTGTCCTCAGGGGTTTTATCATTTCTTTAAATGCAGAAGATCCTGACAAAATCCATGTGGTGACATGCCCACAATTAAAACAATTATGCACTGAAATAGTATTTTGTACTCCAATAATTTTTGTTTTATTTTTGTCCCATCATGTTTTCATTACGAGTACCACAAGGTTGATCCCCACCCAAAAAAAAAAAAAAGATAATAATTTTATATATATAAAACATGATGGGACAAATATTTATTAGACAAAAATGTATTAAAAATCAATAAAATGTGATCCTGGACCACAAAACCAGTCATAAGGGTACATTTTTTGAAATTGAGATTTATACATCATCTTGAAGCTGAATAAATAAGCTTTCCATTGATGTATGGTTTGTTATGATAGGACAATTATTAAAAAAATCTGGAATCTGAGGGTACAAAAAATCTAAATACTGAGAAAATCTCCTTTAAAGTTGTCCAAATGAAGTTCTTAGCAATGCATATTACTAATCAAAAATTAAGTTTTGATATATTTACTGTAAGAAATTTACAAAATATCTTCATGGAACATGATCTTTACTTAATATCCAAATTTTTTTTTGGCATAAAAGAAAAATCGATAATTTTGACCCATACAATGTTTTTTTGGCTATTGCTACAAATATACCCCAGCGACTTAAGACTGCTTTTGTGCTCCAGGGTCACAAATAACAGTTGTCAAAAAAAGCAATTAAATCACTTAAATAAATAATTAAAATAAATTAATAATTAATTTAAAATTATTTAAATAAATGCTTATTTTACATAATCTACCCAAATCACAATCTACCAATGCAGGTAGTGTCAAAATGGCCAAACATCAGGCAATTAATCTTGTATGAAAATATGTACATTTATGTAAATATGAAGGGATCAAAAAATAATTTAAAAAAGCATTAAATAAAAATGAATACACAAATAAATGTGAAAGGGGCAAATAATCATGTAATTAAATAATTAAATGTTTGTTTAATAATTAAAATTATGCTTAATATTTACTCAATTCACAAAAAATAAATATCTATATACAATAAAAAATCTTGATATATATGCACGTGTGTGTGTTTAATACCTGTGCGATCTCCTCAGTCTTCCTGAGTTTCTCCTCCCAGCTCACAGTCATCTCCTGGATCAGCTTCTCTGACTCCTCCAGTCTCTCTTTGAGCTCAGGAGCTTTCATTGACTTCACACACACACACACACACACACACACACACACACACACAGAAAACACACTGTTGAATGCTGTTGCTGGAGGTCACACAGCAGGCAGGTGTTTGTGCGCAGTACCTCAGCCTCGGTCAGCTGGCTGCGGAGTTTCTCCACCTCCTCTCTCAGCTCTCTGATGATTCTGGCGTTTGGATCTTCGTTAATCACGGCGTGATTAACGATGCTTTTGGCCCGGTCGGCGTACCGTAGTGTAGACAGAGTCTCGTCGTAGTTGTCGGCCGCTGGACTCACCGTTGCAACCATAGCGGTGCGACTGTTGCCTCCTAAACTGTCCTGATGTGCAAAAAAAGAGGAAAGTACATCAGAGAGTTTCAGTGAAACAAAGGCAAACCTATGGCATCATTTCCATAGAATTCTTAGCAAATAACAACTCATATGAACCTGCTTTTTGAGATTTAAAGTTCCCCTATTATGGATTTTTGAAAATGACCTTTCATGCAGTGTGTAACACAGCTCTAAGTGAATGAAAACATCC